ACGCCCTTGAACTAATAAAAAAAAGGTAAAATAAATAATTTATGAATAAAAAATAAGTGAAAAACTCTTGGAGACTTAATGATATATATTATAAAACTTTTGACATATACTTAAACATGAATATGTATAGTCATAAAACGTTTTTAGAATATAATTAACGTAATATTATACACACGATTAGCAATGAAAGCCTGTTAGCACCTTTCTATGTAGTAGTATAAAACTTTTTTAATATGCTAAAAATAGCTCAAGAATAAGAAACATTCGACTTGAAGGTAAAAACTCGAGTTAAAGTCTAAATTTTAAACAAATGTTTAATTAATCAGGGGTATTTTAATAAGAAGTTCCACGAATCTCTGGGCTCTAAATTAAAAAATCTAAAAAACTTAATACACATTTTTCAAACAATAAATCAACTATTGATCGAATAACTAATGACAAAAAAATATCGTCTCTTTTCGATTAGAGCCATGATGTTCAATTGAATTTGTAAAAAAAAAACCGAGTTATTTTTAATGATCCAGGAACTATACGAGCCATAGATACTACATACGTCTGACAGTGGCGTATTTAGGGAAGGGGATGCGAGGCTGCGGCCCTACACGAGATTTCAGGAAATATAAATTATTGATTACAGTGCATTGTGTCCTTTATAATTTTAATAAATGAAAGGTTATCCAACCCGAAATTAAAGCCTGGCAATGCCACGGCATAACGAAAATTGATCCACAGTTTGTTTCGGGCCATGACTATAATATATAACACATATTATAATGTATGCATATTTATGTTCTTTTAATTTTGTTGTGAATTAAAGCAGCACGCGCGTTTTTTGTTAGATCAAATAGCTACTGTACCGATAAGGCGCCATAAAAACTATAATTTCACGTAAAAAATTTAAATTAAAAAAATCTAAACGAAATCTATCGACTGGACGTTGTGTTATTTTTATTTTTATGTATCACAACACTGGACTTTATTTTGAACAAACTAAATAGTGAGTATACTATACTGTTTTCGAACATTTTTAGGTATTATGTAAGCCGTCAGATATATTATTATGGCCATAAAAGCAAAACACAAATAACGAACCCAGAAATATTAATTTTTTTTTTATTATACATACATTTTTAAACTTTTTAAAATATCCACATACAACTGCTCTTTGTTTTACATTTGGCGTATTATTTATGCTAAACTCATTAATAATATCCAATTTGGTTATACACAATCTATTGTCAACAGAACCAAAATATTTACTTCATACATACATTTTTTATATTATAATGTACACAATTACATTATGAAAAAACGCATAGGTATACGAGTATTGAACATCTGCGTAGTAATGTGGTTAGCGTTAACTTTTTAATATGTATTTTTTAAAATGTATCTCTATAATATAGCCTTAATATTCATTATAATCATTATTGGTAGTAAATTGGCAACAAACCGTAAATATATTTTAAAAAACAAAAGTATAATATGCGAGAAATTAACAGTAGCTGCCAATTGACAATTATAACTATGACATTAAATTAAAACGCTCTACGAGATGCGATTTATAACTGTAATAAAATAATATTACTAGTATTTATACTATTAATAACAATTTACTAATATTTATACTGTCAGTTAATATTAAATGTCTGATTTATTATTAACGCTTAAGGGAGGTTGCCGGTTGAGTTAGGCTAATCCATTTTTGTTTGCGGTAGCTTATAATTGAATTAACTTTGTCTGGCAATGACGTATTGTATGAAATATAATATATTTTGTATAAAACTAATATGGTTTTATTGGTGGTTTTGTAAAATTACATTTGTAAAAAAAAAAGTAATGTAGTTTGTTGTATATTTTAGTCATGACTGTGTATTGTTACAACCGAAGATGGAAATCAGTCTTTCATACCATATCTCAATAAACAGTTTCTCATTTAGCCATGAAATGTTAAATCCGATCTTCGTTAGAATCAGATTTGTATACATTGAATATGGTACCTATCGATCAAATGTATAAAAGTAGAATACAAAGTAAATAAAAAGTAGTGATTAAAGAAATCGAGAACTATTGAAACATAATTTTAAAGTAAACAAATTTAATACTTAATATTTTAAATGACTAAAAAAAAGGTTATCCAATTTTGTACCGAACGTTGCTTCTACAGTTAAATTGGTCGAGAGTAAACGTTTAAATAAACAAGTCATGCCTATTAATAAAAATATATATATATATATATAATTCTAACTTAACTCGATAAATCTAAAATTCGAAACAAATAGTTGTTGTTTTACTGTTGTTTAAAACTTGTGTTTAAAATAGACCATCGCTGTAGAAGTAAGTTAACCAAAAAAAAGCTTTTAAAACGTCAAAACGCGTTTTACTGTAACTTGGATTTTTGATCAAATGTTTTCTATTATACATTTTCAACGTGTACGAATTAATTATTATAGGAAGAACAGCGAATGTAATGTAATTAATATAGATAACTTTTCGTTTCCAAGCTATACAGTCAAATGTTTAGCAAAAAAGTTTGTGAAACAAAACGACAACAAAAAAGTGACTACAAAAAGTGCAATCGGTTAAAATTGTTTTTTTAAATGAGTTTATTTTTATGGAAGTTCATAAATTTACAAAGTATTGCGAACGTTCATTTGTAGAACATACTCTATAGGACTGATTATGTAAATTTGATTTAAACTAAACGATCCGCTATATCAGCGGCGTAGATTTGGGTGGTTAGGCTTTTTTAAACCATACAAGCGAAAGTTTAATCTCTATAATACCTTTTGCAGTAATACGTGTGGTACAATACCACAGTAGGGTTTTTTTTTGTTTTATAGAACTCCCGACTTATTCTACGGTCTCCGAGAAAAGCCAAAACAAAAACCGAGAATAACGTTAACAAGTCAGCCCACGAGTCAAAGTGAAAATTGAGAAATAAATAATGCCTTTCGCAGCCCTAAGTATCGAACGCGACGAAAGTGTCAGGGCTTGCATTAATAATAATAGCGGTAGAGCATCGTGCGCCGTCGCCTTGGTATAATATTTCAGCCTTACAAAATCCGCGTGCATAGCTGTGTAACACTATGGTAGGATGGTCCACAAGATAAAACCCCCAACAGGAATACCTTCTAGAGCCGTTTTTGCCTTTTCGCCGTTTTTCTAACGTTAAAGGCGTTCGTATTCGATGGCGTATGTCCTTTTTAGAGTCAGCCAAAAGGGGTTTTTCGCACTCTTCTTTATGTACACGAATAAAGGTATTTGCCGGCCACCACAACAATTAGAATGGTGAAATGAAAAGTTGGCAAAGCCTCAAAAGCATTTGGTATAGTCATTGTAAAAAGCGAAACGATAAATAATGCACAGAAGAGCTAAAGTAAAACATTTGGCCTTTGGCGCTTACTCAACCTAACCGATTACACCGGTGAGATAATTACTGAGCGCGGTGTATCTTCTCGGAAGGAATGTATGCCATTAACCCTACTACTAACATTTCTCTTATATTTTTTTGTCATGTAGCGAAAACACCGTGGATCCCAGCACAAAAATAAAAATAACCTCATCGCAAAACTATACTTCCTCAGCTCTGCATCGACACCGGAATGAAATGTTTAATATTTTTTCAAATAATATTTTAATGTAAAATAATTGCAATATCTTGCTCAATTGTAAAATCGAATTATATAGGCTACTACAAGAAAAAACCGGTAAATCAGAGATCGATTTTGTAAAATAATCTATATTGGAACAAAAGTTTCAAAAGTACATTCCTACCCCTTATAAATTCAAAAATAATAATCTGTTCAATTCTATATCGTTAGGTAGGTATAGCGACTATGTGGATTCGAATTTTCCCCTAAAAATGTTACCAGTATATTTGTACATACTTAGACTGTACAAAATGTATATAATATAAAAAATACCTATCCAAAGTAATAAAAACACATACTTATATAAAAAAAATAATAACGAATCCGTCTAGAAACCATCATCTCCTCATGAAGGTAGCGTTTAGCCTTACAGGCCCGTTAAGCTGATGATGATGATGACGACTTATATAAAAAAATAATTGGCATTATGAATCAGTAACGTTATCTAGTCATCATCTTCACCTTTCAAGCATGTCAGATAGGCCACGTGTGCGATTAACACTGAATTTTTATGAATTGGTCACCGCCTACTATTACTGAAATATATGAAAGATCAAAATTGTTTACGAAGGTCGAAAGAGTTAAATAATGAATTGTTTAATAGTCCATAAATTGTTTTCAACAAGTTTAGTTGAGCTCTTACATGTTACATAGGATTAACCTATAATTTAAAAGTATAACAAGACAAATATTTGGTGCTAATAATTGTTTCTAATTTAACAAACTGTTTCATTTCAATTCGTTTAGGTATATTATCTTATTGAATAATTTATTCAGCTATTTTATTACTTTTAAAATAACTTTGCTGAGGTAATTCAAACTGACAACTACTTGTAATAAGTATTCTCCAACCCAAAACCTATATTCTCAAATCAATTATTAAACAACAATACTAATTGTTTTAAAGTAACAAAGTAATAAATATAAATTATGTAAATTAATTGAAATAATTATTCTTGTACATCAAATTATTTGTAAGTAACCTTTTTTGATAAAACATTGAATACCTTTAAAAAAAGTTACACGTTGAAACCCTAGTTGAACGACTGAAGCAAACAGCCCGCAAAAACTAATTCATCTGCATTTTTTTCCAATTAGTTAATTGCTCGCATTTTTAAATTAAGTTTTGCCGATTACAATATGTACAATAACGGTTATTTATTGCTTAGTTTTTTAGGCACTGGTATTTCGTGTTTAATTTTTGGAAAGCGATTTATGGCTTTGAATAAATTAATAATTCAATCTAATTTAACTGTGAGCATAAACCAATTTATTGGAGTATATTACGGAACTATATATTTTTTTTAATGGAAAATGGAATTTTCCAGCTATATATTTGGTCATTACCTGAACGTGAGATATTTGTGCGAACGATCCGCAGCCGTGGCAGTCCAGTTCAACGTTATAGGGTCACCGTTGGAAGGTTGTCCACGGGCTAATAGCTTTCCGTTCACGCTTAAAGTGTAGTTGTACAGAGTCGTCGTGCAATTGATTCTCACTGTAAGAAGAGTATAAACATATTGTAATAGTATAGTAATTAATAAAATTAATTCAATTTAACACTGGCGTGTAACATTAAGAGTTATGTTTGTTGTTATCGTGCTCGGGTTTCGGATAAATGAAAATACAGCCTGGAATCTGCGGGCATGATTTATTGTCTTGTTCGACTGGCGCCAAAAGTCTTTGGTAAGAAAAAAAAAAATAAGGATAACTTTGTTTTCACGCATATAGGCGGTCTGGTGTGCTAGCGTCATCATCATCCGGAAAAAGCATTACCATTTGTCATCGACGACGGGCGGGAAATCCTTGTGACCCGGCGACGGGTGAAATGCCTCTACTTATGGCCACATAAAGTGCACGACCCCTACCCTCAGAGCTTACTAACCCCACCTGCAGTCGGCCATATGGGTTCTTAGGCCCAGGGTAAATACCCCGGTGATTTTGCTTATAAACTTAGTGCTTTCTTGAGCTCTATCGTCATTTGAAATTTAAACAGTAAGGTATACAGAACGAGGGGAATGTCGGGTGTAGTATTATTCTTATCTGAGCGTATTACTCAATCGAGGGTTTATGTCTGACCCCAAATTATATTTTAAATTTCATCGTTCGTTATTTGAAAAAGCTGATTCTTCGGTAAATTATATAATTTCAGTTCAAGGACCCAAACTGAATTGTCTGAAATTATTTCCATAGGTCACATCTGAATCGGTGTTAAGGTAAAACAAGAATATCAACAATTGTTTTGTTTGAGACAAGTTGAAAACGTTGTGTTTTAAATTACTATCATAACTAGATCGTACACTAGAGTTGTTTTTTATTTAAACCGTCCTAATAGTTTGACTGGATTTTGAATATTGACATTAGAGGTCAAGTTTAAATCATGCTATTGCTGTAGGTTTTTTTACGGAAGTGTTTGCATGGACCAAAGGGTGGTGTATCGCCTACATTAATAATGGTTCCCCTCCGTTTTTTACCTTCTCCAACATCACAAAGAAGCATTGTTGTCGGTACTACTACTAAAAAAAAAAAAGAACATTTCAATTTGTAATATAAATCCACATCTAAAACCCCGCCTGAAAGGTTTTCTTCCTTTTTCTTTTTTTTCATCAACAACGCAACTTAATGGAATATTACGACAAACTTCTTAAAGGTGCAGTACACTGTACAGTTATTAGATCTCAAGTTCTGTTTGTTATCCGGATAATATGAACGGCTAAATTGATTTTATTGCTTATGCGATACTTTACATCTATACTGGTCGCCGTCAGTCGCTAATAAATTCGCTGTTTATCCAAATGAAACGAAAATAAAGTAGAAGTCGTACTGATAATATAAATACGATAGTTTGACCTTTACGGTATAGCCAATGCAAAATACTAGTATAAAATGTTTTTGATTTTATTGCGATTTGTTTAGTAAATGCATAGAACCCAAAAAAAGTTTAAGTAAAACAAATTGTTTTTGAAAGATCTTTCGCTGAATACAAATCACAATTCCGATGAAAAATGAATAAAATAGTACTGTTCAATTATTGTTGATGGTATTAAAAAGGTATATCAAAGAACCTAAATTTTCACTTTTTAATGGACATTTAGCAATTATTAATATTTGTTACAATTTGTTTTGGTAATAATGTATTGTTCAGATAGGCTATAAGTATTTTGAGTTAAGAGTTTTTAACGAAACTGTTATCTCGTCAATAGACAATAGTAACAGTTTCTTTTTAATAATATTTACTCAAAAAATATCAATTACAAACAAAAGAAAACCATGAAGTATTTAAAAAAATTGTACTACGATAAATGTACAATCTTGAATAAATTATAAGACATATATAACAAATATGATAAAATGTTTTTAAAGAATTGAAGGTCTGTAATTTGAACTGGCGAGATCAGGCTATGAAAGTTGTAATTTTACTATGCATATTAGTTTTATAATGTGTCGGTTAAGAATTAATTAGATACAGGGTTGAATTAAACAACTGTAATAAAATGACAGAAGGTTGATGTGTTAATTTTTATTAATTTGTATTACATAAAGTAGGGAAATATCATATAAACCGGTGATTTTAATATCAAGCTCATACTTACGAATAAAGTCAATTTTATCTGTAAAAAACAAATTCATTTAATTTAATAAATTTGTAAATTTATGTCCCTAGTCGCATGATGTAAAAATTATGTTCTACTCTAAAATATTGTTTTCCACAAAAAATGTTAATTTGAAAAGGCGACAAAAAGTTTTTCTGGTTGTAATATCTGTTTCACTTATATCTGCTATAAAAATGCCACGAAACACAAAAAGCAATAAATGTAATTTGCTTATAGAATATTATTTTATACTCTTATTAATAGTTTGACGTTTTTAGATAATATCAAGGGCACTAAAACAACCATGTTCAGTATACAACTTCTATTCTTAACGATTGGGTTATATATGTTTGCTCAAGTTCACCTACATAAAACTTGCTTTGCTTCTTGTACAGTATAATTATTAGGTTCTAAATTTGTCTTAACTCTTTTTTGTACACAGCAGAGTTATATTAAAACTTTTTCATATACTCGTAGATTCTCTAATACATCACAAAACTAATTAACATTGGGGGTTCTATATTACAAATACGTTGTATTTGTGAAATTATTTTTAAAAATGCATTTATCACCCCTGTACGTTATATTGTTATTAAAGGCACAAGTAAGTCAGTCAAAAATAAAATTATTTTCCAAAATGTATTCCACGAATACACGACATTTTTTTTTATAAATTACCGACATTTCTTAATCGGCCACTTCTGTGGTGAGGTAGCGACAAAAGGAAGTGTAATATAAGTAGTGTTTGTGGTCTAAAACGACTTTGAAGGAAATTATAACGTTCATTCGGGGCCATTAAACGATGTAATACCCGCTGAACGTTATATTGCTGTTACAGTGGGTTCTGTACATGGTTAAAGTTCATTAATTTCAGTGCTGTCGACAGTTAACTGTGGACAATATAAAGCGAGCTTGTGTTAGGACAATTCAATTACGTCGCCTAGTTATAAGTACAAGCTGTCGGGTTGGTCGCGAAAATTAATTGTCCGAGTTTGTAAACGACTACACGGAGCACATTTTGAATTTACTTTTAATCGTACATGGTACTTGCGGAATTTGCCAAAGCAATGTGAGAAACGCTCCGAAAGACATATCTTTATTATAACCATACGATATGAACGATCAGGGTGAAATTGCCTCGATGAAAATCAATCTAAGTGTTGTTTTTGAACTCATAACCATCCGGACTGCAGTGTTTTGTAATGTTGATCTCGAATTAAACATGGTCTTCGACCGAGTGCAACGATAAAACTATGCGTTTGGCCCTAAGTCTGGCTCGTATTGGAGTTTAATGGTCTATTGTATATTGACCGAACAACGCGATGCTAACCATAAAAATATGCTGAGAAAACGGAAAACTCTGGTCATTAAACTCGGACCTATAAAAAAGAATATAATTTAGATAGTATTTCAAGAAACAAAAAAAAAGAAGTTGTAAAACTTAACGTTGAGTTGTATAGACTTATAATAGTAAACACACTACAAATAAAACTTATACGGATTTTCAGTAAACAAAGTTTTTAAAATGTATAAACTGTCATCCGATGTCTTTACTGGTTAAAGATAAACAAAAATTATACTGAAGTTTTAGCCAGTTATTCAACAGAGATGAGCTCTTCGATAACTTGAAATAAAAGCGGTTCATAATATAACGGTTAAATTATTAAGTTTTAGGAATCCAAAACGAAAATGAACGCTTTATAAGTAAAAACTGCGAGGATTTTTCCTAGCCACGAGGGGAAGTGCCGTGTTTTGCAGGTAGTAATTCACAGCTGCGAGTAGGTACATAATATTTTAGTCTTAAATAACGTTCGAGGAAAAGTAAGAGTTGAACGCTTAAACTTGCCATACGTCTGCATAACCTTTTCTAACTTCGGTTCCTTCTGACATTTAAAATTCAAAGTCAATAATACTTAAACTGATATAAACTAAATAACGCATTTGGATAATATATAAGCTTGTTTTCGAGGATTTTTAGGAAAAAGGTGTTTTTAATTAGCTTGGAAAACGTATTGAAAATTAATCTGACTTGTAAAAAGTAATTTTTTTAATGTAACAAAGGCTTGTATAGAAAGGAACAAACATTTTAGTGGTAGGTAAAAATTGTGCTGAAATTCTGAAATAAATTTAAACAAGTGTTTACCACACATAACATGCAAATACCTAAAATAACATTTTTAAAAAAAAACCTATAAATTTAAACAAAACCTCTGCGATGCTCTTAACAGATAAGCAGAAACGTGGCATTTTTCGTTGACATTTTCGTATAGCATTACATATATTTCTCTTCTGATTCAATATTATATATTATATTATATTCTGTGGTAAAAATGAGTTTACAAAGCTCATTAAAGGTTTCAGAAAATTACATCATCTATAGATTACAACGGTAGTCTTACTAATTGTATTCACCAATATGTTCCGAAAAATGAATATATATGTGTAATAAATAATTAACAAGGTATTTGGGTACATTGTATAATATAATATATAATATAAATAGTTGTATACTTTGCGAAATGACGACAGAAGAAAGGCGCCACCGTACGGTTTCCATTGTCATAATTTTTCAGATGGTTCTCATTTTGGTTTATCACTTGCAATTAGCGTTTGTCTCTGCAGTCGAGCGTCGCCAATAATAATGAAATGCTATATTGAAACAATTGCAACTCGTATTTGAATAAAATTATATTTTACTCCGACGGTACAGTTTCATCGGTATTGTACGTATTTAATTTAAATCGGATGTGCCGCATAACTTAGCTCGGTATGACGGTAATGCATGTATAATAATATACATTGTATGGTATTATTATTTATTGTGGTAGATCCGCGACCGTTGCGAAAATGATAACAAAATATACCGTTGGTGCTTAAGTGGTTTCCCGAAAACTCATTATGTAAT